TATGTGACCAGGATTCGATCTGAGTGTCTCTGTATCTACCACAAATATAATAGATTAATTCAATCGAACTTATGTAATGAAAGAGAGCAATTCGTGGTCTAGTAGTAAGAACATGGACAAGCAATCACGAGCTGTGGTTTTGATCCCAACCTAGGCCAGTTTGATTCAGATTTTCACTTAGATTATAGATCTTAAATATGGTTTCGAATTAAAGTAGCATTTTGAGGGAATTGCTGCATAATAATAAACAGTCAAAAATACTTCTAACACAAACACATAGTATAAAATATATCACAACGAGGAAAGGGCAATTAGTGGGTTTCATAGGATGAATATTACAAAACCAATTGTTAAATTCTTCATTATATAGACAGGTCGCAATCAAAAAGTATTAAATCTTGTTGGTAGCTTTTACATTAATTTGGTCCTTGAAATAAAAATTACGTTAAAGATACTCAATTGATTTGTTTTTATTTACTCACTTAATTAGTTGAATTATTTTTGTATGTTGATATAAATAATGTATGATGAAACTGCATTCAATTAAGGTATAACTTAATCGAAAATATATTAAAAAGGTTATAAATTAATTGAACAAAATCATAACCCAAAGTTCAATTTTCTATTTTTCTGCCTAAAAATTATATAAAAAAATCTTAAAACCGGAATGTTGATACAGAAAATTTTATAAAATACTATAATTATTGATTGTAAAATCACTTCTATTAAAAGATTCTAGCTTTAATGTGAATCCTTGATGATAAAAATTATTTTTAAATTTCACTAGAGACTTCGTGTCCTTGATCTCGGATTTATGTTTTTCTTATGAATATATATACATGTATATACGTCCATGCGTTTCGTGGGTGTGCTTTATGTTTTGTAATACATATATTATAAACCAGAATACATTAGTCATACATATTGTGAATTATAAATGTTGAACTTTTGTGCTTTGAATGCAATGATTCTAGTAGCTATTTTAGTAGTGTAATCACTATACTCCATCGTATACTATTGGTAAAGAATAACGTAAACTATATTACGAGCTATTTCAGATATATGTATTAATAACTGAGAAACTCTTCTTGTTAAAGCAACAATTTTTCAAAATTTCATTGCTTGAAAACAAACTTCGAATGTGGCAGGATATACAAAATATTTTTTCACTTTTCCATAAAATTTTTGATTTGTAGCAATATAACATTTCTCATCTTTTTATTACATATCATAGTGATATACTATATCCCCATATCATGGATTATTGTATCTACTTTTGGTGAGCAAATTTTAAGTAGTTTTTACTTTTCGCTTTATTTCTAAAACTTTATTATAGCTTTAAAGCTTTTGGTCTGTTATTTATACTCATATTTATTATCAAACTTTCCATCTTTCTGATACTGAAATTTGTTATCATCAGTGGTATCTTCATTATAAATATAACACACATCAATAGATAGTATTACTAAGCCATATTTCTTCTGTTCAATAAAAATTTATAAAACAAAACAACTCTAAAAATCAAAACAGCAAGTACTATGTATAGAGAGTTTTATGTTTCTACAGTTCGAAATAATAAATATAATGTTGGATAAACAACGGAAGCTTTTGTTTCCAAACTTATTACCAAAAAATGTATACAATTTGATAATGCAAAACTATAGAGTTCGATGATGAAATATTGACAAAGATAAATAAAATTTGTTTAAAAGTTTATTGTATCGTGCTATATAACAATTGAACAATAGTGCTCAAACATAGAAGGGTATGTGACGTCACATGTCTGAGCGAACTTTGCCGACGACAATTGTGGACTCTCCCGATTGATCAAATGTCATATGTCATATGTTCCATGCCTAACATAGGCCTTATAATATATAAACCAATTTTAACAGGTGGATTCGATTTTATGTTCATTTTTTGCACAGGGAAAATATTATTAATATCATTTCTTACAAAATTATCAGCCATCAAAATTGCCATTATATTATTACAATAAAGCTATCACAGATAATATTTGAATTAAATTAACTATTATGATAAATATTATTAATATCATTTCTTACAAAATTATCAGCCATCACAATTATATTATTAAAATAAAACATATGACATTTGACATTTGATCAATCGAGAGAGTCCGCGATTGTCGTCGGCAATGTTTGCTCAGGCATGTGACGTCACATATCCTTCTATGTTTGAGCACTTATTTTGCTCCATATAATATAAGGTCTATGGTTTTGATGCATTTAAATTAGTCCTTTAAAAAGTATGATTTTTGAAGTCTAAAATTTTCCTTTTAAATTTTTTGCATTAGTAATTTACTTTTTATATTATTAACAGCAATCAGAAAATAATAGTCCTATAAGCTTGTTGTGATCGCATCTTAATGACGTGGTTTTATAGATGGTAATTCAACAGTTGGCCAATCTCTTTTTGTTGAATTTATTCTTAGAATAAGTGTAATAGCAATGGCTTTTTATTGGAATGAGGGGTAAGGGCTATTTTCACTTTCACTTGAAAATATTGTGATCTCTATATTTTCAAGTAGAAACCGATGTCACTACTGCTTGATATCAGGTATGTGATGGGTATTAAATCTGAAACTTTCTGGTTGGAAAGCCAAACTTCTAACCACTAATCTACGAGAAAGCCCTAGTTTTTAGTAATTTGCCTGAATAAATTCTTTTTCTGATACTCTGTTCAAACCTTATAAAAACCATTTATCTACTTTCTCAGTTACCAAATAAATATTTGCATTTGTATTGAAATTTACGTATTTACAACAAACTTCATAAGATTATCCTCCAACATCATTACGAGTGCACCAAGTCATCGTAAAATTCGTTATTTCCTGAATGGGTCAACAACCGAGTTCTTATTTTAAGCCTTCAATTTGCCCGTTTTTCTCTTACCTCATGGTTTTGCTACGATTTCATGAAATAATCATTAATTACAATATGTAATTTATAGATGCACCTGAATAACTAATACTCTAGATATCATTTGACAAAACATATTAGAAGCAGTATAACGAGATTAGTATCTGACCTACTACCGAAGTCTAATAATAATGCCGCGATGAGCGTTTGGCTCAATGCCAATTCGACAAAAAAATATACCATACATTGAATACGAACTGATCTCGTAAAACTGTTCCTGATGTTTTGTTTTAACAAAATATACAGGGCTGTCCTGATGGCTTTACGATTAGAGTCACTTTGGGTAATTGATGGTGCTTGTTAACTAGGACAACGCGAAGACCACTGAGGAAGATTGAGAGGATTATCGATATAGTAAATATTTATAGAGATACTTCAAATTCCAAATTATTTTCTCTTCAGTAATCTTCAGTATATTAGTGGGTAGAGTTTTGTGATTTCAATAAGAAGTCCCAGGTTAGATAGCCGACTCGGACAGCCTGATGTAAAGTAGTAGTGACATCGGTTGTTGCTTGGAAATAGATTGCAATATGTTTCCAAGAGAAAATAGCCCTCATCTGTAATTGCTGCATCAATAAACTTGCCAGTATTCAAAAATTGTAAGAATCAGTTCACATAGAATAGAAACGACTAGATGGGTTGTACAAATAATAAATTTCGACTGATTAAATTTTGTTTGCAGTTAAAAATGTAGACAAAATTTTTTTCATTCATGGGCATATTTATCGCAATCTCCACCACCAAAAGGCGTGTTTTGGAAAGTCTCTTGTTAGCCAAAATACATAGAATGTGAAAAATTTATACTATGACCTTAAAACTGGTTTTCTAAAAGTTGTGTCAAGTTTTAGCACTGGTGTACTCAAAAGTATTGAATAGTTTACATTAGTATTTTTTTGTTTGTTGTTGAACCAAGCAATCAGTACTTTAGAGATATAAGAGCTATTCTTATGATACTTTTTACCTAGGGCTTTTTTAGAATGCAACCATTTTTTGCCTATTTTTTTCCTAAATATCTGGTTCTATTCCATTATATTATTACATCAGCAAATTTTTGGTAATACTTAGAATGTCTAAATCCAATAATTGGATTTTAGTTCGAGTAATTCTATCAATATTTGATATATTTTTCATGACAATTTTACTAAAAGTAATGATATATTTAAATAATTATTTACTAGAATAAGATATTTGAGGGGACCAATTAAAAAGTACAGCAAAGTACGAATTCTACTTTTTAATAAAAAAAACCTTTGTCATATCAATTTTCAAAATGTATTATTTGCCTAAGTTTGAATATATGATAAAATTTTTGTGGATGACTTTTTGCATTTCAATCAGCATTGTTGCAATTTTGAAAAAATCTTCATTTTAATAATAAAACTTTGAGAATAAATATATCAATAAATAAATAACAACTCGTCTGAAAAACGTACGAAATTTTATAAATAAACCTTAGAAACTGGGTTGGGGTGCTCTGTTATTGCATTTTTTGGTAAGTGTAAATACAATCCAAAACAATCGAATATTTGAAAAAAGTCTTCATAATATCACATTCTACTAGGTTCAAGTAAAAGAATACTAGCCTCATTACTAGGGTATAAAATAGCATATAGTATACTACATGGTAATGTCTAAAAATAAACTTGGTATTTTAGTATATTTATAAACAAGTATATATGTATACATATACATATGTGTATACATGAATTTGTTGTAACACTATATAAACATAATACTAATGGTCCGATTCTGCCGCATAACAGACCAATGTTATGGCAAGGCTATGTTATGAAGAACTTTCCATACTAAATATTGACAAAAATCATGTGGTTGCCGTGTAGTCAGGCATTTTTCTCATATTGTCAGATAGAAAATCTAACCTAGAAACCGCACAAATGTCAAAAAAACGATTTTAGATAACATGGTCTTTCTGACCCAGCTTCATAACATACAAGTGACTTTGCAGTTTATATCTAAAACAAATACATTGCATTTTGACAGTATTCAGTATGATTCAGTAGCATAATGTATGGAAGATGGAGCGTAACATGGCCTTGCCATAATATTGGTCATAAGTGGATCAATTAAAAAAGAAAACCATAGACATGAAGTCAACTCACGCCCTAAATCTTGCACATTACTGATGGTAAGATACTCACAGGTGTCTTACATATAGTATTTATTTTTATATTTGGATAATAATTTGTAAAAAAAGCATTATAATCCTAAGATGTTTTCAAACAACGATATATCAAGTTTACACTAACGTCACATTATAAGTTTATATATTTTCAATCAATGATTGATCATTTTCAACACGCGCTGAAGGAAAAAAGAGAAAAATAACATAATGACCGTGAAAAATAATAAAAAATTACACTAATACAGTAATAATCAATGTAAGATTGACATATTGGAACAAAAGCGTCGGTTGTCTAGTAGAATTTGTTCCGTTTCTAAATCGTGTGCTCGTTTATTTCAAGAAATTGGCAGCGCGCGCTGTACGCTCCCCCATGGCCAAACGATGGGTCATCGGCCACCGCTCTTGCGGAAAACTTTCCCAAAAATTGTAATAATCGATTTTGATTATTTTTTTACATTTTCCTATGTTTTTAATTTCAAATGGTTACTGCTGGATATTTGAAAATTTTACGCTAAAACCACACGTTGGCCACCAAAATTACCGTATACTTTTTTAGGCAGGTTGTGGTCTGGAAATACAAAACATTTCTCTGTGCAGAGGTGCTTCAAAAAAGGATTCAAAATACAAAAAAAGCAACAAAAAGTTTTTCAAAAATATTATTAATTAGTAATAATTTTGTTTCCTTATTTTCTAACCAAGATCATATTCTTAAGAGATGTTTTGAAGGTGAATAGTACATAGATCTAAAATTTTGTTTTTTTTTTGCTATTTTGGATTCTTTGTTCTAAGCAAAACACAATTACACAATACAGAGTGGCAGAGTTTAAAGGTCCACCACCAATATCTCAAAAATAAGTAAAGTTATGCATTTTTTAACAACAATATTTGTAAGTAGAGGGTGAAAGATGTATAACCAGTCATCACCTTGATTCTTACGTCCACGCTATCGGGAGATAAACGGCATTGTTGGAAAATCCACGACAAAAAACATTTTTGTTGTTGTTAGTGTTTTTGGTTCTGAGCACTGTTGTTTAGTTTACGAGACTTTAATATAATTTTTGAGTATATGTTAAGTATTATAAAATGTATTGTTTATATAGCCTCTATAAAAGCATAAAAAATAGGTCATATATATATATATATATATATATATATATATATATGATTATTGAAATTATTATAATTTTAAAACAGCAAAAAATCACATTTCTACAAATATCAAGTAGCTGGGATTTTTACGATCTATATTATAGATCATAGACGTGAAATAAAAATCCATAAATATTTATGTAAACGTATTAAGCCTTTCGACACCTTTATGTGTATATATGTGTAGATAAACATATATATTTATATTTTCTCGAAAAACCAAGATGAATGTTTATTATTATATTCTTATTAATTTTAACTTTATGTGCACTTTAGTTTTCATCAGAAGTTATCTGTATGTAGTTTGTAGTTTTATTTCTTCTAATTTGTAAACGATAGTAAATAATAAAAAATATATACTTCAGTCAACAACTCTTCTTACTATATATGTATCTATACTCTACTTACTATATATGTATCTATAAGCAGCCCCTAGTTGCAGAAATATTATTTACAGGTTCTAATTAAATATTCTAATATACATACAGTAAACATAACATGTGTATTTTAATCGAAGCAATAAGTTATTTTCATACCAATAATATTTTAATATGAAAAACTAAATTATTCTAATTATTCTTATTTATTACTATTCTAGCAATGAAACTGGAAGTAATGGTGCTGCAGGGCCGCCGCCTCCGCCACCAATGGTTACAAGTGTACCTGCAAAGAGACTACCTTCAGAGGTAAGAAATTACTTCAGTTATATTTATTTATTCATATATGATATCGTTAGAATATTACAAAATTGAAACTACATCAATATTGGTAAAACTGCCCTCACTTCTAATATTATATATTTTTCAATATTATTCAAATAAAAATGTTTATTTTAATAATAAATAAAATAATTTCTTTAACAAAATCATTATGATTTTTATCTGCGACTAGTCTATTAGTTTCGGGTTTCAATATAGTCACGATTTGGATGCCTTTAATAAAAATAAAAATAAATAGGCTTGGAGAAAATAATTTTATTTTCGAAGAATATTTTCATACGTCTATTTTAGTTCCGTGTCGCGTATTGCAACATCTAAATTTTGCTCCGTTGCGACGTGTTAAGTGAATTCTTTTTAATAATAGAATCTGTGAATGCATCCAAACGTCATCGTAACGCAACGCGATCACCACTCGCCGACTACTTGTAAACAGAGCAATCGCGCAATTATGAATCATCAACAATCCGTACTTTCGACGAATTGTTTTGAATTCTCTTATGATAATCATGGCATCATACGCGTTATTGTTTATCCGAATGTCTTTACTCCTTTCACATAGATTTCTTAATTTTTGGAAGTACCATACTTTTTATCCTTAACGAATTACTTTAATGCTCAATTCAGATTCCAGAAAGATCTAATGAACCGCCTCTATGTGTACAAAATGCAATGCTGACAAAAGACAAGAAGCCTTTCACCTACACTCCGGGTGGTATCGATTTGTCGCAAATTCGATCTCCTCGAATGGCACGACGGATAGTGCGAAACGCTCAAAGCGAAGGAGTGACCGAAACTCCAAAACCGTCGCCTTTGGCCGCCCATAGCAGTGAGCCTTTGCCGCCATCGGCACTGGCCGCAATGCAGCCTCAAATGCCAATTCAAGTTTTTCCATCCAATCCTCCTGCACCAAGACCAAAAGCTCCATCAAGAGCTCCACCACCTCCACCAATTTTGATGAGACCGTCACGTCTTCAAAAACAGCAGTCACCAGGACCGCAAGATTCGTCTGAAAATCCAGCGATAAGTACTTCGCAATCACCGATTTATAGCCCGCAATCAGGTCTTGTTACACCACAAACTTCTAACAGTCCAGGAACTACTCCAACGCAGCTTACACCGAAACCTCAAGTTGCTTCTAAACCTGCGATGGTGGTTAGACCTCCACCTATACTTCCGCCGGCTCGTAGTGCTCAGCGGGCTTCAGAACAGACTCCGCGTTGGAGTCCTCCAATTGATCAGAATGTAGGTTCTCTGGTAATACCAGCCGTGCAGCAAATGCCCAAATTACAATCTCCTCCTATTCCGTGGATGCATCAAGGATCAAGAAGTGCGCAACAAGATGTTGCTCCTCCATGGGTCAATCGTGAGGAAAATGACGATGCTAATGTGCGGCCAAGCTCCACGCATATTGTACCGATGCAGGTATTTATTTTATAAATAAAGTTTTAGCATTTACTAAATTAATTTAATACCTCAATAGCTAGATAATATTGATTTCATATTTTATCTTATATGAAATAATTGTTAAAAGGTTGAAGGAAGAGATAATTCACAACCGACGACTCCACAAACACCTGGAGCTAACAAACCAGGAGTTCGAGTGGTTCCAATTAAAATTGAAAGATCTGATAGAAATACTCCACCGAAACAAAGAACACCTGAGTACGAATATTTATAAATAGGTTTCCTATATTGTAAAAATAATATGAGCATACTAAGCGATATTATATTATTGATTACAGAGTGACTAATCAGACGCCAGTTGGTTGGGGAAAAAATAATTCGGGTACGCCTACACAATCTCGCGCTTTTAGATTTCTACAACAGACTACTGAAGGTTACGATGATATTAAACCCAAAACCGTGGTTGTACCAATCGAGTATGAGCAGCCTCCATCTGAGCAAATGCGCAAATTACAATTGGCAGAAGATGACAAACTGCTTATGGATCAATTTAAAGCGCATGGTGAGATAAAAGATATTATTTCATATTAATTTATCAAAATTAATTGGCTTATAAAAATTTATTTACTGCTTCAGAATAGAGTAAATGAAGTATGAGTTGTTAATTTTAAAAAAAATGTAATGAAATGAGATATAGGTGAAACTTCTTAAAAATTCTGGTGTCTGAGATTCTGCAAGGCAGATATGGCCAATTGAAAAAGTTGTTTTAGTAATGAATACTGCACATTGTTCATCTCTTTATATAGTGTTTTCTTATACACCCTGACTATTGTTTAATATGTCTATTTCTGACATTTGCCAACGGCATTGCCTACCTTGATGTTTTCTTATGTTATCTCAATGAGTTTTCAAAATTCTGTTTTCTTTTCTTGTTCTAAGGAGTTTCACATCATAAAGTACACGTTATGAAATAATGTGAAAAATTACTTAAAAACAATAGTAGGTATCATAACATAATCTATTGAAATAAAATCTTCCACTGCATAGTCGATGAGGAACAGTACTTGCATACTGAAGAAGAGCCCAGATTTCGAGGCGCCGCTATTCCATCGAAAGCATTCAGAGTTTTGCAGTGCATGACGGGCACCCAAGCAGATGCTTGTCAGGATGAAGGTTTACAAACTGTTATTGAAGTTTATATTGTTTATGTTCTTTTGATAATGGCAATAAGAGCATGTTTCCGTATTGATTGTCACATCACACCCTCCGTGTAAGGAGTTGGAAAATTTAAATATGTGATTGTTATGAACATATGTTTCGGAATGAGACTCCTTTTTTATGACGGAGGATTTGCATTAAATGTTAATAATCATTTTATTACACGTACTGTATAGCTTTGCATTTTCAGGACCTAAAGGGCAGACACGTCCTGTTAAGCCACCAAAACCACAAGGAGGTTAGTTTAATAAATTAAAACTTCTTATGCGTATGTATACTGACAGTTTGAATAATAAACAGCTATTTTTATTTTGTTGGAAATCAAATCTAAGTTTATCAAATAAACTTATAAAATGTTATTTCTATTAACTGACATAATTTTTTAGTGGATCCGACTTCGCCAAAGCCCTACATACCACCGAGCGAACAGAAGGTACTAGAACCTAGAAAATATACTGGATGCAACATACCTGGACGCTCATTTAAAATTTTGCAAGCCATTACTGAGCCCGAAAACTACGGTTGGTATAATCTTTACATATTAAGTATCAAAATTATTTTAATGAATAATATTTCTCAAAATTTTACAAAACAATTTGTCGATCGCCAATGTGATTCGACTTACTTTCGGATTGGCCATAAATAATAAAAGATTGATTCTTAATTATTGATTATATATATATGATCTCTTTCATCTTCTCAAGTTTATCATAAACATTATTGAATGTTACTATCATATAGAATGTTTTTCATTATTTGTATTGTTTACCTTATACTGCATTTGAATGCTAAGACGTTTATTCAGTTGAGTAATTTTCACGTGTTAATATTCGTTTCATTGTCATGTCATAGTCAATTGGGTCAATTTGTTTAATTCATGTATAAAAGCGACATTATTTATTATCTAATATAATTATTTTTATTAAAATCCGTATTCAGATTCATGATATTGTATATGATTGTGCGGATGTTGTGTGACTTTTTGTCATGTTTGTTTTCTAAGCTAGCTGTGGCTAACATGGTATGGATACGGATGAGTGAAAAGTTGCACAACACAATTTAAATAGTTTAAAGTGAAATACACTATTTGGCAAATCGACCCTTGCATCTTTGACATATTTTGAAATCACTCGGATTGACTGTGATCACAGTGTGGCCATTTGATGCAACCAATATTGAAACGGTTATGGGGATTGCTTTTAACGGTTAACGATCATTAACCATGGTGCGTTATGATTAACTACATGTGATCCTATGCGAGGCGATGCTAAACTTCAGAATAAAACAATAGACGCGCGCACGACTCCAGCGATTTTACTTACAATTAGTCGAAGTTTCTCATCGCGATCGCCGACTTGGCTTTGTGTTTTTTTTTATCGCTTAACATAATGAATTTATTTTTATATACAAATTTCTCTACAAGTATCTATATATTAAATGTATATTGTAGTATTAAAACAGTATAAAATTGATTTGTCTAACATTTTAAGAGGGTATTGTTGTCGTTTTGATCTGTTATAGCCGAAGGCACGCTTCCAGATGGTTGCGAGCCGTCTGTGTACGGCGGCCAACCCTGGGAAAATTATGATCCATGTTGGTCTCAAGATCCATATTGGGGTTATTACTATGCAAACCCTGAATCCTATGCTCAGCCAACGTCCGATGACACCGGCTCCTATCAGGAATCTGATGTCGATGCGACAGCACAGTACTGGCCGATGCATCCCTACGGCTACTATTGTTACTACGGTTATCCTCCAATGTATCCGCCATATTACTACCAAACAGAGCCGGAAAGTTGTACCGAAGACGAAACAACTTATTATGTACAATCCGAACAATCAGAAGCATCTGACAATAATACAAAATACGAAGATACAACCGAGAAGGAATCTGAAAGTTCCTCAGATGAGTCCGAAACTGAACATAAAGAAACTGAGGATTCCAATGATAAAGGCATTTCAAATAAAATTGAAATAGTCGATGAGGATAACGTTAACGAAGAAAATGAAGAGAATAGTGCAAGTGATGATAAAGTAAGTTCGAATGGCGAAGAAACAACCACAAATGAATTGCTTAATAACGAAGATGAACAAACTACAGCTGAAGACATTAGCATACAAGAGGAACAATCAGTTACAGAAACGACAGATAGCGAATCTTCAGATGAAAGTACCTTGGGCGAAGAACCTTTTATCGTTCCTCATCAATTAAGCATGATTTTAGAAGAGAGTGAATCTAATTATCTTGATTCTCAGCAACACAGGGTACGTACAGATAGCGCTTGCACGACTATAAGCGATTGCTCAACGACTATAGTAAATGCTTTAGATGATACTGATATAAATGATGATGATGACGAAGCAGATACTGCTTCATCAACCGTAACTGTATGCTTGCCGCTAAAATTAAAATTCAGTCGCTCCGAAAATGATGAGGATGTTACAACAATAACAGTTGGAAAAAGTAAATGAATCATGAGAGTTTCGAAAGTGAAAGTCCCGATGTATCAGTTACTTTAGAGTGTCCTTTATCAAAATCAAATTCAGAAACAGTTGACGTAGCATGTACGATTACAAGAAAAATTTCAAGTGGAGACATCAATGTTAGGAATATAACTTCAACCGAAGAAAACTCTTCAGATGACGATAGTGATGAAACTAGTGAATCATCATCAGAATCAGATTCAGAATCCGAAAATGAAAATGCAAACGGAAAAGTTAGTAATGTAGTTTTTGAAAAGGAAGCATCGAAATTAAATAATGTACAATCACATGTTGATAACACATCACAGGATTCAGATGATGATTCTGACGATTCAACAAGCAGTAGTAGTTCTTCAAGTGAAGATAGTGATAGTGATACAGATAACAATGCATTTAGAAAAAATGAACAGAAAAGTAATAATGTTGCAGAGAATAAGAAAACAAATAACACATCTGAGGACAGCATAAATAATGAAAGTTTAAATAGAAATTCATCTAGATCCAGTCTTAAGTCAATGAAAAGCGTAACATCTATGTTAGAAAAATCTTTCAGCAATCACATACTCTCGAAAAGTCATAGCAAGAAAGTATTATCTACATTAAATAAAAAATCTCAAGAAGACTCAGAGGAAGAAGTGGATTCGGGTGTTACATCAGATATAAGTAGGCATATTTCAGAAACAGACACAGAATACGATTCATTCCCCGAACTACGTAAAATGAATAAATACCAAAGAGCAGCGACACATTCTCGATTATTCAAATTATTGCAGGGTGAAACCGGCGATCAGACTGATGAAGAACCAGATGATTCTCTGAAGGAACAAAAATCTTTGGAATCTGCACCTCGTTTACGACGTGATTTTTCAGTACGTAGCGATTCGACACGATCTGTGGATTCTGAAGCAGTATTTGGCAAACGCGAACAATTGTCTTTACCACTTCTTTCACAATATTCAGGTAGTGATCCTGATAGTTTATCATCTTCGAGCGGTCTAGCATCGCCCGCATCGCCAACCGTCAATGAACGGTTACTAACCGAATTAATTCAGAGCCTTTTGCGCGGTAAAAAAGGCCGAACTCTTCGAAAGTTGCCGATGGAAAAATTGCGCGCAGCAGCTTTGCGAATTTTGCAGGAAGATATGGATCAGTACGATACAGTGAGTTCGTCGACAACTGATTCAACGCCATCCGGAACACCTCATGATATGTATGGAAATTACTATTATGACTATAATAAATATTACGAAACGTGGGGAATGGTAAACTTGGACACATCAATAGACGATTACGACATATTACCTTCGAAGGCATTTAAAGGATTGCAAGAAAGGGCGATGGGCATCAGTAATAATGGCCACATCGGCGGGACGTGGGCCAAGTGTCCGCGAGTGCTAAGCGCCAAAAACATCGCTCAAGAGAAAATCATTGTTAAAGCGAACGAAGAGGTCGTTTGCGGACCCGACAGCAGCGACCGAACCACGTGACCCAATGTACCTAATGTTTTAAGCAAGCTTAGAGTTCTTCTTATCGATGTGCTTAGTGCCGCGCTGGGTCAAACCCAGAAGGTACCGACAACAGACTATCGTTTGACCGTGTTGTAATTTTTGATTTTTGGTTTTGTGTAAAAATAATAGAGCTTTTAATTAATTAATAGTACTGGAGTTATGCTTTCATGTCTCGAAGTCTTTTTGGCAAATCGAGAGGTGATGCAAGCGCTACTGGCGTTGTGTGCCAACACTATACACATCAGCGCAGACGCAAACTGTTCTTATTAGACCTTTTCCTTACCGCCAGGTTTTCAACTGGATTATGTTATATAAATTTACAATTTTCAACTAACAATACGCTGCAGACTAGAGATTAGTTTAAAAAAGACTCACATTGGTCACTTTCATTCAACAATCATATTCACGATCATGCATCACGTTTTGTTTTCACTTTAAGCATGACAGCTGTTTCAAATGCTTGCTTATGCACTGCATCTTGTATAATACATTTTTGAGTTAAATGTCCACTTTGTGTTAATCGATGCTGAATTGGAAATATATTTATCAAAATACAAACAATGGGAACATAAAAATTTAAATCAGTTGTATAAAGTATATTTTCCTAAACATGCATCAATGTGTGTGTGTAATACTTAACATCCTCAAGTAATTGCAAATAATATAGTCTTCTCGAGTATTTCTTCAAAATTTGTCTTTGTCAGTTTTATATCTAAATAGGTAAAAATAAATGTGAATTAATATTGTGATATAGACTGGATATGCGGCTTGCATTCGTCGTTTTTGAATTTAGTCTTGGCACGCTGGCCAATTTTTGTGCAGAATCCTTGACTAGAGAAATTTGCTAGTGGTAACGTTTTTAACAGGAATAATAACATCGCTAGTGTAATAACTAATTATGAAATACCATAAACATTTGGAATCATAGTTAAATTAATAATCTGATTTTGTAGCAATTATATTCGTTTAATTAGTCAAATTCCATTTCTCAAATCATTATCAAAAACTTTACATGCATACAGTACACCATTTTTGTTTAATAGTTACATAGATACATATTCATTAATTTAACCTATTAATTGTTCATTAATATAAACTCTCACTAAAATTGTAAATATGTGATTATTTTATTCACAGGGCCGGGCCAGTCTGACTTGTGAAATGTCTAGGGAGTTCATCAGGGCGGCGTTCCATTAAAACTCAAAGCCTCCATGAATATAAAAATCCATTCAAATGGCGAGGTTTCAACGCCAAGTATCCATATAACATACACAGAAAAATATGGATAAATATTGTATCTTATAACTTAGTTATAAAAATTGACATCTATAAAGTTAGGTAGAAAATGGCATTCAAGTGCCGCATTAATATGCTTGTACATCATCAGTTGATTTGACTCTTCAAGTAGAAGTTAGATTTTTGAACATTTTGAGCGTCTTATATTTTTGTTCTTGAAATAAATACATTACAGTATGGCAACTCATATTGCAGTCTCTGATAATAAATATTCAGCTGATTTTGTACAAACATCATACCACGTAAGAATATTTGCAAACCCTGGACTTCCTCAAAACAATATGTCAGTTAACTCAGCAACGGTGCAACTCCAGTACCTGCACAATAAATAACTAAATATACGATTTGTTTACATGAATATTTTTTCGAGGTCTTTAGTTTAGAATGGTTATTGAATGCTTATAATATGTTAGTTTGTGTTGAGCCTGTGAAGTGATAAATAATGGCGCATTTCTTACGGATAATTGTCGTTCATTTTAGTAGTCTCGATAGTAAAATATTTTACAAGTGGTTTTTATATCTGATTGTGTCAAAATTACATTTGCTGGTTAATGGTATGTTCATACTAGTTCACATACACATTTATTATTTTTCATTATAATATGTATACATAATTTTCTTTTACCCTTTTGAGATCTAGCACGAATTAAGCAATATCATGTTAATTACTATATTTCCAAATGGAATATGTCAATGTTTATCGAATTTGAAATATTTTAAGGGTTTATGTGAACGAGCTTAGCAAATAATATTTTTTAATGAACAGATACACTGTTCGGATATTGTATACTTAATTTGACTTTATTAGAATTTAATATTTTAGTTGTTTTATAAATTTTACTAATTTTATTAGGATAATACTTATGTTTTTAAAGGTGATGGGATCTTCATTCTAATGATAAAAATAAAATGCAGTTTTACAATTGTAACACCATATCGTTTTATTCCCAGGTGATCTTATTTTATTAACTGGTGTTTAGATTACTTTAAATTATAACCAAGGAGATTGCAGGTTTGATGCCCGCTTCAGACACTATGATATCAAGCAGTAGTGACACCGGTTTTGCTTGAAAATGAATAATATTTCAATATATTTCTAAGGAACTGACTCTACAGCATAACAGAAAAATGTTATGGCAAGGCCATTTATTGAAAAACTTACCGTACAAAATATTGACAAAAGTCATGTGGTTAGTGTGCAGTCAGGCGTATTTCTCAGGTTGTTAGATAGAAAACCTAACCTAGAAACCGCACAAATGTCAAAAACGATCTTAGATAACAGGGTCTTTCTGACTCAGCTCCATAACATATGAGTGACTTTGCAGTTTATGCGTAAAACGCCCGAATGCACAGCAAATACATGACATTTTGACAGTATACAGTATGATTCAGTAGCATAATGTATGGAAGTTGGAGCGCTACATGGCCTTGCCATAACATTTTTCTATTATGAGGTAGAATCGGTCCCAGTACAAGTAACCCTTACCGAACATTAGAGTTTCCATTAAAAAAGACAACAATATTAAAGTCATTCTAGCAAATGCATAACAAACGGTTCAATATAATCAAATAGACAATTTAAAAAATTCTAAGAAGTTAACGAATACTCACTTGTATGAAAGTGGAAAATATTCTGTCTAATAATTAGAAACAAGACTGTGGGTTTTAGTATGCAAGCAATGCCAAAAGTTATGATTAGACTCTAATTAGAATTTTTGGCATTGCTTGTATACTTGCATACTAAAGACCACAGTCTTGTTTTTTAAACTTGATCTAAATTTGTAAATAATTACATATTGACTTATATTAGTTACTTTTTTGAGTTGGATTAAAAAATTCAGATTGACCAAATTTTAATGATTACTTATATATAAAAGTGCATATTGAAAAAATATTTATGCCTGAAGTTGAATTGTACACTTCTGCAAACCGACAGTAAGTAAATTTATATATATATATATATATATATATATATATATATATATATATATTGACCCGTTTATTTATTTCAATCATTGGTAGTGCAATGGTAAGAGACTTGCAATATATCACAACATAATTAGGTGTGTAAGAAAGTACAATCTTTAGATTGTCTTAAAATAAAGCAAGGTAGTAGAAAATACCTAAAACCAACTGCTCGTAGTACCTACATTAAGAATAGTTCTGATTGCTATTTAAATATCAATGAAAAATATATAACCAAATCTCAGTAGTACTATTAATGCGTAAAACTAATTTTTGTTATTTCCTTTTCTTTGCATTTAATTTAAAAAGCAACTAGTTAGATAGGTCCATTTCGAATTCGTGTACATAAATGTACCTGATTTGTCTGCAATCTTCTTTCGGTTGTGTAATGTTTATGACTGCTTCGGCGTTTCTCGAATAAATTCCAAAGCAGATGTTGGCAACCAATTGCCCATCAATTTCAATTTAAAAAAAAATTATTGTAAAAATCAATTATATACTTTATATTGTATATACTATGTATTTATGAAACCAATACATGTATTCTTTAGATATCTATTAACTTTCATACTAATACACTATAAAATTAAATTTTTTAAATCATTTGCATTACATTACTTCTCATAAATATTTTTTATAAAGAGATATTATCATATTATTAACAAGTATAATTTGAAAAAAATAAACTGAAAACTTATGTAATGAGCTTTTGAAACTAAATTTTATAAGAAGTGAAGGGCAAAAAATTGTACAGTGATGTTTCTATTTTTTGGGAATCTACTCTAACTGCATATATATCAATGTTAGGAATATAACTTCAACCGAAGAAAACTCTTCAGATGACGATAGTGATGAAACTAGTGAATCATCATCAGAATCAGATTCAGAATCCGAAAATGAAAATGCAAACGGAAAAGTTAGTAATGTAGTTTTTGAAAAGGAAGCATCGAAATTAAATAATGTACAATCACATGTTGATAACACATCACAGGATTCAGATGATGATTCTGACGATTCAACAAGCAGTAGTAGTTCTTCAAGTGAAGATAGTGATAGTGATACAGATAACAATGCATTTAGAAAAAATGAACAGAAAAGTAATAATGTTGCAGAGAATAAGAAAACAAATAACACATCTGAGGACAGCATAAATAATGAAAGTTTAAATAGAAATTCATCTAGATCCAGTCTTAAGTCAATGAAAAGCGTAACATCTATGTTAGAAAAATCTTTCAGCAATCACATACTCTCGAAAAGTCATAGCAAGAAAGTATTATCTACATTAAATAAAAAATCTCAAGAAGACTCAGAGGAAGAAGTGGATTCGGGTGTTACATCAGATATAAGTAGGCATATTTCAGAAACAGACACAGAATACGATTCATTCCCCGAACTACGTAAAATGAATAAATACCAAAGAGCAGCGACACATTCTCGATTATTCAAATTATTGCAGGGTGAAACCGGCGATCAGACTGATGAAGAACCAGATGATTCTCTGAAGGAACAAAAATCTTTGGAACCTCGTTTACGACGTGATTTTTCAGTACGTAGCGATTCGACACGATCTGTGGATTCTGAAGCAGTATTTGGCAAACGCGAACAATTGTCTTTACCACTTCTTTCACAATATTCAGGTAGTGATCCTGATAGTTTATCATCTTCGAGCGGTCTAGCATCGCCCGCATCGCCAACCGTCAATGAACGGTTACTAACCGAATTAATTCAGAGCCTTTTGCGCGGTAAAAAAGGCCGAACTCTTCGAAAGTTGCCGATGGAAAAATTGCGCGCAGCAGCTTTGCGAATTTTGCAGGAAGATATGGATCAGTACGATACAGTGAGTTCGTCGACAACTGATTCAACGCCATCCGGAACACCTCATGATATGTATGGAAATTACTATTATGACTATAATAAATATTACGAAACGTGGGGAATGGTAAACTTGGACACATCAATAGACGATTACGACATATTACCTTCGAAGGCATTTAAAGGATTGCAAGAAAGGGCGATGGGCATCAGTAATAATGGCCACATCGGCGGGACGTGGGCCAAGTGTCCGCGAGTGCTAAGCGCCAAAAACATCGCTCAAGAGAAAATCATTGTTAAAGCGAACGAAGAGGTCGTTTGCGGACCCGACAGCAGCGACCGAACCACGTGACCCAATGTACCTAATGTTTTAAGCAAGCTTAGAGTTCTTCTTATCGATGTGCTTAGTGCCGCGCTGGGTCAAACCCAGAAGGTACCGACAACAGACTATCGTTTGACCGTGTTGTAATTTTTGATTTTTGGTTTTGTGTAAAAATAATAGAGCTTTTAATTAATTAATAGTACTGGAGTTATGCTTTCATGTCTCGAAGTCTTTTTGGCAAATCGAGAGGTGATGCAAGCGCTACTGGCGTTGTGTGCCAACACTATACACATCAGCGCAGACGCAAACTGTTCTTATTAGACCTTTTCCTTACCGCCAGGTTTTCAACTGGATTATGTTATATAAATTTACAATTTTCAACTAACAATACGCTGCAGACTAGAGATTAGTTTAAAAAAGACTCACATTGGTCACTTTCATTCAACAATCATATTCACGATCATGCATCACGTTTTGTTTTCACTTTAAGCATGACAGCTGTTTCAAATGCTTGCTTATGCACTGCATCTTGTATAATACATTTTTGAGTTAAATGTCCACTTTGTGTTAATCGATGCTGAATTGGAAATATATTTATCAAAATACAAACAATGGGAACATAAAAATTTAAATCAGTTGTATAAAGTATATTTTCCTAAACATGCATCAATGTGTGTGTGTAATACTTAACATCCTCAAGTAATTGCAAATAATATAGTCTTCTCGAGTATTTCTTCAAAATTTGTCTTTGTCAGTTTTATATCTAAATAGGTAAAAATAAATGTGAATTAATATTGTGATATAGACTGGATATGCGGCTTGCATTCGTCGTTTTTGAATTTAGTCTTGGCACGCTGGCCAATTTTTGTGCAGAATCCTTGACTAGAGAAATTTGCTAGTGGTAACGTTTTTAACAGGAATAATAACATCGCTAGTGTAATAACTAATTATGAAATACCATAAACATTTGGAATCATAGTTAAATTAATAATCTGATTTTGTAGCAATTATATTCGTTTAATTAGTCAAATTCCATTTCTCAAATCATTATCAAAAACTTTACATGCATACAGTACACCATTTTTGTTTAATAGTTACATAGATACATATTCATTAATTTAACCTATTAATTGTTCATTAATAAAACTCTCACTAAAATTGTAAATATGTGATTATTTTATTCACAGGGCCGGGCCAGTCTGACTTGTGAAATGTCTAGGGAGTTCATCAGGGCGGCGTTCCATTAAAACTCAAAGCCTCCATGAATATAAAAATCCATTCAAATGGCGAGGTTTCAACGCCAAGTATCCATATAACATACACAGAAAAATATGGATAAATATTGTATCTTATAACTTAGTTATAAAAATTGACATCTATAAAGTTAGGTAGAAAATGGCATTCAAGTGCCGCATTAATATGCTTGTACATCATCAGTTGATTTGACTCTTCAAGTAGAAGTTAGATTTTTGAACATTTTGAGCGTCTTATATTTTTGTTCTTGAAATAAATACATTACAGTATGGCAACTCATATTGCAGTCTCTGATAATAAATATTCAGCTGATTTTGTACAAACATCATACCACGTAAGAATATTTGCAAACCCTGGACTTCCTCAAAACAATATGTCAGTTAACTCAGCAACGGTGCAACTCCAGTACCTGCACAATAAATAACTAAATATACGATTTGTTTACATGAATATTTTTTCGAGGTCTTTAGTTTAGAATGGTTATTGAATGCTTATAATATGTTAGTTTGTGTTGAGCCTGTGAAGTGATAAATAATGGCGCATTTCTTACGGATAATTGTCGTTCATTTTAGTAGTCTCGATAGTAAAATATTTTACAAGTGGTTTTTATATCTGATTGTGTCAAAATTACATTTGCTGGTTAATGGTATGTTCATACTAGTTCACATACACATTTATTATTTTTCATTATAATATGTATACATAATTTTCTTTTACCCTTTTGAGATCTAGCACGAATTAAGCAATATCATGTTAATTACTATATTTTCCAAATGGAATATGTCAATGTTTATCGAATTTGAAATATTTTAAGGGTTTATGTGAACGAGCTTAGCAAATAATATTTTTTAATGAACAGATACACTGTTCGGATATTGTATACTTAATTTGACTTTATTAGAATTTAATATTTTAGTTGTTTTATAAATTTTACTAATTTTATTAGGATAATACTTATGTTTTTAAAGGTGATGGGATCTTCATTCTAATGATAAAAATAAAATGCAGTTTTACAATTGTAACACCATATCGTTTTATTCCCAGGTGATCTTATTTTATTAACTGGTGTTTAGATTACTTTAAATTATAACCAAGGAGATTGCAGGTTTGATGCCCGCTTCAGACACTATGATATCAAGCAGTAGTGACACCGGTTTTGCTTGAAAATGAATAATATTTCAATATATTTCTAAGGAACTGACTCTACAGCATAACAGAAAAATGTTATGGCAAGGCCATTTATTGAAAAACTTACCGTACAAAATATTGACAAAAGTCATGTGGTTAGTGTGCAGTCAGGCGTATTTCTCAGGTTGTTAGATAGAAAACCTAACCTAGAAACCGCACAAATGTCAAAAAACGATCTTAGATAACAGGGTCTTTCTGACTCAGCTCCATAACATATGAGTGACTTTGCAGTTTATGCGTAAAACGCCCGAATGCACAGCAAATACATGACATTTTGACAGTATACAGTATGATTCAGTAGCATAATGTATGGAAGTTGGAGCGCTACATGGCCTTGCCATAACATTTTTCTATTATGAGGTAGAATCGGTCCCAGTACAAGTAACCCTTACCGAACATTAGAGTTTCCATTAAAAAAGACAACAATATTAAAGTCATTCTAGCAAATGCATAACAAACGGTTCAATATAATCAAATAGACAATTTAAAAAATTCTAAGAAGTTAACGAATACTCACTTGTATGAAAGTGGAAAATATTCTGTCTAATAATTAGAAACAAGACTGTGGGTTTTAGTATGCAAGCAATGCCAAAAGTTATGATTAGACTCTAATTAGAATTTTTGGCATTGCTTGTATACTTGCATACTAAAGACCACAGTCTTGTTTTTTAAACTTGATCTAAATTTGTAAATAATTACATATTGACTTATATTAGTTACTTTTTTGAGTTGGATTAAAAAATTCAGATTGACCAAATTTTAATGATTACTTATATATAAAAGTGCATATTGAAAAAATATTTATGCCTGAAGTTGAATTGTACACTTCTGCAAACCGACAGTAAGTAAATTTATATATATATATATATATATATATATATATATATATATATATATATTGACCCGTTTATTTATTTCAATCATTGGTAGTGCAATGGTAAGAGACTTGCAATATATCACAACATAATTAGGTGTGTAAGAAAGTACAATCTTTAGATTGTCTTAAAATAAAGCAAGGTAGTAGAAAATACCTAAAACCAACTGCTCGTAGTACCTACATTAAGAATAGTTCTGATTGCTATTTAAATATCAATGAAAAATATATAACCAAATCTCAGTAGTACTATTAATGCGTAAAACTAATTTTTGTTATTTCCTTTTCTTTGCATTTAATTTAAAAAGCAACTAGTTAGATAGGTCCATTTCGAATTCGTGTACATAAATGTACCTGATTTGTCTGCAATCTTCTTTCGGTTGTGTAATGTTTATGACTGCTTCGGCGTTTCTCGAATAAATTCCAAAGCAGATGTTGGCAACCAATTGCCCATCAATTTCAATTTAAAAAAAAATTATTGTAAAAATCAATTATATACTTTATATTGTATATACTATGTATTTATGAAACCAATACATGTATTCTTTAGATATCTATTAACTTTCATACTAATACACTATAAAATTAAATTTTTTTAAATCATTTGCATTACATTACTTCTCATAAATATTTTTTATAAAGAGATATTATCATATTATTAACAAGTATAATTTGAAAAAAATAAAACTGAAAACTTATGTAATGAGCTTTTTGAAACTAAATTTTATAAGAAGTGAAGGGCAAAAAATTGTACAGTGATGTTTCTATTTTTTGGGAATCTACTCTAACTGCATATATATCAATGTTAGGAATATAACTTCAACCGAAGAAAACTCTTCAGATGACGATAGTGATGAAACTAGTGAATCATCATCAGAATCAGATTCAGAATCCGAAAATGAAAATGCAAACGGAAAAGTTAGTAATGTAGTTTTTGAAAAGGAAGCATCGAAATTAAATAATGTACAATCACATGTTGATAACACATCACAGGATTCAGATGATGATTCTGACGATTCAACAAGCAGTAGTAGTTCTTCAAGTGAAGATAGTGATAGTGATACAGATAACAATGCATTTAGAAAAAATGAACAGAAAAGTAATAATGTTGCAGAGAATAAGAAAACAAATAACACATCTGAGGACAGCATAAATAATGAAAGTTTAAATAGAAATTCATCTAGATCCAGTCTTAAGTCAATGAAAAGCGTAACATCTATGTTAGAAAAATCTTTCAGCAATCACATACTCTCGAAAAGTCATAGCAAGAAAGTATTATCTACATTAAATAAAAAATCTCAAGAAGACTCAGAGGAAGAAGTGGATTCGGGTGTTACATCAGATATAAGTAGGCATATTTCAGAAACAGACACAGAATACGATTCATTCCCCGAACTACGTAAAATGAATAAATACCAAAGAGCAGCGACACATTCTCGATTATTCAAATTATTGCAGGGTGAAACCGGCGATCAGACTGATGAAGAACCAGATGATTCTCTGAAGGAACAAAAATCTTTGGAACCTCGTTTACGACGTGATTTTTCAGTACGTAGCGATTCGACACGATCTGTGGATTCTGAAGCAGTATTTGGCAAACGCGAACAATTGTCTTTACCACTTCTTTCACAATATTCAGGTAGTGATCCTGATAGTTTATCATCTTCGAGCGGTCTAGCATCGCCCGCATCGCCAACCGTCAATGAACGGTTACTAACCGAATTAATTCAGAGCCTTTTGCGCGGTAAAAAAGGCCGAACTCTTCGAAAGTTGCCGATGGAAAAATTGCGCGCAGCAGCTTTGCGAATTTTGCAGGAAGATATGGATCAGTACGATACAGTGAGTTCGTCGACAACTGATTCAACGCCATCCGGAACACCTCATGATATGTATGGAAATTACTATTATGACTATAATAAATATTACGAAACGTGGGGAATGGTAAACTTGGACACATCAATAGACGATTACGACATATTACCTTCGAAGGCATTTAAAGGATTGCAAGAAAGGGCGATGGGCATCAGTAATAATGGCCACATCGGCGGGACGTGGGCCAAGTGTCCGCGAGTGCTAAGCGCCAAAAACATCGCTCAAGAGAAAATCATTGTTAAAGCGAACGAAGAGGTCGTTTGCGGACCCGACAGCAGCGACCGAACCACGTGACCCAATGTACCTAATGTTTTAAGCAAGCTTAGAGTTCTTCTTATCGATGTGCTTAGTGCCGCGCTGGGTCAAACCCAGAAGGTACCGACAACAGACTATCGTTTGACCGTGTTGTAATTTTTGATTTTTGGTTTTGTGTAAAAATAATAGAGCTTTTAATTAATTAATAGTACTGGAGTTATGCTTTCATGTCTCGAAGTCTTTTTGGCAAATCGAGAGGTGATGCAAGCGCTACTGGCGTTGTGTGCCAACACTATACACATCAGCGCAGACGCAAACTGTTCTTATTAGACCTTTTCCTTACCGCCAGGTTTTCAACTGGATTATGTTATATAAATTTACAATTTTCAACTAACAATACGCTGCAGACTAGAGATTAGTTTAAAAAAGACTCACATTGGTCACTTTCATTCAACAATCATATTCACGATCATGCATCACGTTTTGTTTTCACTTTAAGCATGACAGCTGTTTCAAATGCTTGCTTATGCACTGCATCTTGTATAATACATTTTTGAGTTAAATGTCCACTTTGTGTTAATCGATGCTGAATTGGAAATATATTTATCAAAATACAAACAATGGAAACATTAAAATTTAAATCAATTGTATAAAGTATATTTTCTTAAACATGCATCAATGTGTGTGTAATACTTAACATTCTCAAGTAATTGCAAATAATATAGTCTTCTCGAGTATTTCTTCAAAATTTGTCTCTGACAGTTTTATATCTAAATAGGTAAAAATAAATGTGAATTAATATTATGGTATAGACTGGATATGCGGCTTGCATTCGTCGTTTTTGAATTTAGTCTTGGCACGCTGGCCAATTTTTGTGCAAAATCCTTGACTAGAGAAATTTGCTAGTGGTAACGTTTTTAACAGGAATAATAACATCGCTAGTGGAATAACTAATTATGAAAAACCATAAACATTTGGAATCATAGTTAAATTAATAATCTGATTTTGTAGCAATTATATTCGTTTAATTAGTCAAATTCCATTTCTCAAATCATTATCAAAAACTTTACATGCATACAGTACACCATTTTTGTTTAATAGTTACATAGATCCATATTCATTAATTTAACCTATTAATTTTTTGTTAATAAACTCTCACTAAAATTGTAAATATGTGATTATTTTATTCGCAGGGCCGGGCCAGTCTGACTTGTGAAATGTCTAGGGAGTTCATCAGGGCGGCGTTCTATTAAAACTCAAAGCCTCTATGAATATAAAAATCCATTCAAATGGCGAGGTTTTAACGCCAAGTATCCATATACCATACACAGAAAAATATGGATAAATATTGTATCTTATAACTTACTTATAAAAATTGACATCTATAAACTTAGGTAGAAAATGGCATTCAAGTGCCGCATTAATATGCTTGTACATAATCAGTTGATTTGACTCTTAAAGTAGAAGTTAGATTTTTGAAGTTTTTTAGCGTCTTATATTTTTGTTTTCGAAATAAATTCAATATAATATGGCAACTCATATTGCAGTCTCTGATAATAAATGTTCAGCTGATTTTGTACAAACATTATACCACGTAAGAATATTTGCAAACCCTGGACTTCCTCAAAACAATATGTCAGTTAACTCAGCAACGGTGCAACTCCAGTACCTGCACAATAAATAACTAAATATACGATTTGTTTACATGAATATTTTTTCGAGGTCTTTAGTTTAGAATGGTTATTGAATGCTTATAATATGTTAGTTTGTGTTGAGCCTGTGAAGTGATAAATAATGGCGCATTTCTTACGGATAATTGTCGTTCATTTTAGTAGTCTCGATAGTAAAATATTTTACAAGTGGTTTTTATATCTGATTGTGTCAAAAATAGATTTGCTGGTTAATGGTATGTTCATACTAGTTCATATACACATTTATTATTTTTCATTATAAAATGTATACATAATTTTCTTTTACCCTTTTGAGATCTAGCAAGAGTTAAGCAATATCATGTTAATTACTATTTTTTCCAAATGGAATATGTCAATGTTTATCGAATTTGAGATATTTTAAGGGTTTATGTGAACGAGCTTAGCAAATAATATTTTTTAATGAACAGATATACTGTTCGGATATTGTATACTTAATTTGACTTTATTAGAATTTAATATTTTAGTTGTTTTATAAATTTTACTAATTTTATTAGGATAATACTTATGTTTTTAAAGGTGATGGGATCTTCATTCTAATGATAAAAATAAAATGCAGTTTTACAATTGTAACACTATATCGTTTTATTCCCAGATGATCTTATTTTAATAAGTGGTGTTTAGATTCAGACACTCTGATGTCAAGCAGTAGTGACATCGGTTTTCACTTGAAAATAAATAATATGCCAATATATTTCTAAGGGACCGATTCTGCCGCATAACTGAAAAATGTTATGGCAAGGCCATGTATTGAAGAACTTTCCATATAAAATATTGACAAAAGTCATGTGGTTAGTGTGCAGTCAGGCGTATTTCTCAAGTTGTCAGATAGAGATCCTAACCTAGAAACCGCACAAATGTCAAAAAAAATGATCTTAGATAACAGGCTCTTTCTGACTCAGCTCTATAACATACGAGTGACGTTGCAGTTTATGTGTAAAACGTGTGAATGCACAGCAAATACATAATATTTTGACAGTATTCAGTATGATTCAGTAGCATAATGTATGGAAGTTGGAGCGCAACATGGCTTTGCCATAACATTTTTCTATTATGCGGCAGAATCAGTCCCTAAGTACAAGTAACTTTTACAGGACATTAGGGTTTCCATTGAAAAAGACAGCAGTATTAAAGACATTCTAATAACAAATGCATAACAAACAGTTCATTATAATCAAATATACAATTTAAAAAATTCTAAAAAGTTAACGAATACTCACTTGTATAAAAGTGGAAAATATTCTGACTAATAATTAGAAACAATACTATGGGTTTTAGTATGCAAGCAATGCCAAGAGTTCTGATCAGACTCTAATTAGAATTTCTGGCATAGCTTGTATACTTGCATACTAAAGCCCACAGTCTTTTTTTTTAAACTTAATCTAAATTTGTAAATAATCACATATTGACTTATATTAGTTACTTTTTTGAATTGGAATAAAAATTCAGATTAACCAAATTTTAATGATTACTCATATATAAAAGTGCATATTGAAAAAATATTTATGCCTGAACATAATGTTGAAGAGTATACTTCTGCAAACCGACAATAAGTGAATTTATATATATATATATATATATATATATATATATATATATGTATATATTGACCTGTTTATTTATTTCAATCATTGGTAGTGCAATATAATTAGGAGTATTAAAAAAAATTGTATCACAAAGGAAAGGACAATCATTAGATTGTCTTAAAATAAAGCAAAGTAGTAGAAAATACCTAAAACCAACTGTTCGTAGTACATTAAGAATAGTTGTGATTACTATTTGAATATCAATGGAAAATAAACAATCAAATCTCAGCAGTACTATTAATACGTAAAACTAATTTTTGTTATTTCATTTAAAAAACAACTAGTTAGATACGTCCATTTCGAATTTGTGTACATAAATGTACCTGACTTGTCTGCAATCTTCTTTCGGTTATGTAATGTTTATGACTGCTTCGGCGTTTCTCGAATAAATTCCAAAGCAGATGTTGGCAACCAATTGCTCATCAATTTCAATTCTGAAGAAATTTTGTTATAAAACTCTATTATATACAATAACGAAACTAATATGTATTCTTCAGATATCAATTTCATACTCATAAAATACTAAATTTAAATTTTGCACTTTATTTTTTTTACAATAATTTTTTCTAATACATTTGTCCTAATCGTACGAAAGTATTTGTAAGAAGTATGATATGGAAATTTTAAAACTGAAAATTTTTATAGATCAATTTTTTTAAACTAAATTGTGTAAAAATTGAAGCGAAAGAAATTTGTAGAATGTTTTTATTTTTTTGCAATCTACTCTGATATATATATATATATATATATATATATATATATAATGACATTGTTAATTGACATTTGTCTATCTTTATTATAATCATTCATCAAACCAGCAAAAATGTTTACCTGCAAAAGATTGGTAAGCCCTGATTTATTTTTATGCTGTGTTCTTTTCCAAGAGCAAATTTTGGTTGATACTAGTTCGTATTTCTCATTATTTGTATGTAATGTACTAAAAATGCATTATTTTATAAAAAAAATTGAAGTTATTGTGATATAGGGTGCTTGTATAGCTTTGATATTATTGAAGTGACTTAATTGTTCGAATTGATTTCAATATAATTATTTTTTTTTTATTTCTAACATACATTTTATAACTTTCCAAATATAAGGATATTCAGTAAATCTATTGGCTCAACATGTACAATTTGACACTAAGTATTAAAGTTAAGTATTAAAATGCACAATTGCATTTTTTTTTCATCATAGGATTTGAATAGCTGACATAATGTTAATTAAATCTAAAAATATTTTTCTCTTTAGTCTTCTGGGTCGCCTGTAGGTAAGCGGTTAAGAGCGATGGGACGTGACTCAGAGGTCTCGGGTTCGATACCCCATTTCGAGCAGCCTGTTGTCAGATAGTAATATGTTTCCAAGTGAAAATAGCCTTCGCCCGGCATTGCTGCACCAATAAAAATACTCGTCCTATTACAGAATATGTAATAATTGCCATCTGTCACAAACTAGTAATAAGTCAAATCAGTACAACAATTTATAGGACTATTGGGTTCTGATTGCTGTTCAAAAATATATATAAAAAACTGGTACTGCATGAAGGTTACCATCAATTAAAATGTAACTTTAATTATCAGTTATTTTACACAAATTCATAGCTAATGACAATTTAGGAGATCTCAACACCATAAACATATATTTCTATATTGAACCAGAACCAGGTTCTGATTGCTGTTCAATAATAACTAAAAAAAATTTAGTCTTCTGGCTGAAGTATTGCATTATTAATAAAACTATATTCAATATATAAAACTTCAATCCAAAATCATTGTGATTAATTTGTGCCTGGGGAAATAAAAAAATATTAAAAAACACATACTGTAAATTTTTTAAATGACAATTTATTTAATATTTATCCATATGTAATCAATTACATGACCATCTCTTTTATAACTATATATACAAATATCAATATAACTAAAACATTCACTAATTGAAAATTTCTAAAATTTTTAAAAATTTATACATACATTTATATATATTTATATCTATATACAAATATTTGGAGAAAACTCTTATGCCTGCAGGACACCAAAGCCGAAACTGGAGCAATTGCTTTACCCTCAGCGATGGTGTGCAGAAGGCATTACAGTAATACACAAACGTGTTCTCGTAGAAACAACAAAAACTTGTATAAATTTCACCAACAATTCGAACCAGTTTGTCCATTCGGTAAACTAAATAACAGTCTGAAAATGTCCTAAATATAAGTACGTACTGTATATTTGTATCGCGCGCGGTTCCTCTTGGTGGTGTTGAGTGATGTAACTTCAGGCAGCACATGACAGGTTAAATCGCAAAAGTCGAAGATAGACGAAATTGTTCGATTTAGTTCGGTAACGACAAACTATGGTTAATCTTGTGCGAGGGTTCTAGTGAAACAGAACCTTAACCTTTCCGTTTTGATCATATAGTGAACGTGTTTATAGTGATTTTTTTTATTCAATATAAATTGCAAGCTGTCAGTATAGACATTTAGTGATTGATAAAATAAAATTGTTTATAGTGAATAGTGAATAAAATCAAATGCCAAACATATTCCAACCACTTACGAAAATGATGACATTTGTAAGGTAAGAAATGCTTTTGACACTCCTAGGTGCATGCACATTTTTTAGTTTCCTATCCGCATGCATTTGACAGCTGGATTATAATATTTTACTATTTACAATTACAACTTTTTGCATCACGTATTGAAACAAATTAAACATATTTGATACTTATATTATGTTTCCTGTACCGATGCCACCAAAAGACTTGTTTCATGAAAGGTTTCATTTCTCTTTTGTGGAACAAACATTCTGATAATTTTCAATACAAAAAAGGCTTAGCAACACTTACAAGGTATTGAAATATCAATCCTAGCCATACGATAATTTGAAGTTAAAACATTCATAATATTTCATTAATAGTCAGTCATTGTAGTAAGTTCACCTCGGAATTCGAGATACCCAGCTGTTGTAAGTCTGTAAATACTTGTATATTGACTTCCTAAAAGTTGTCTCAAAAATACAAAATAAATCAAAATATAAAAAAATTAAGTTTTTCAAAAAAATCAACTGACTTCTCAAAAACTTATTTTTTTCAAAGTTTTGCAAAGTTTTTCTTAATAACTTTGTTTACAGTATGAAAAGTTGCAGCAATTTGCCTTGAGGCACGATGCCATACACCACTAGTTTATTCAAGTCATCAACATAATGAAACACAGGTTATATGAAAAATTAAAGTAGATTTTAAAATATGTATTTATATTTTTTGAATAGCAATATAGATTCCTGTAAGATCACAACACCTGATCATCATTAGTTGTTGGTAGTTATTGCCCAAATTAATTGTTGCAAACTTGTTTTTGACTATTTGTATGTATTTGCACGATGAGTTCATCATACATCATACACCCTACATATGGTAGGGTGTCAATACCCTATGTAGGTTTTGAGACAACTTCAGGGTGTCAATATACAAGTATTTACAGACTTACAGCTGGGTATCTCGAATTACGAGATTCTTACCCAATTTAAGCTTAAATGATTGGACTATAATAACCCTTTTGCTACGAGCGTTGTTTGACAATTTCTGTGTACGAGTGTCGTCTATAGACGACATCCAGTGTGTCGACTTTTGCTTTATTATTTATCACTCTGAGGTAAATTATCAAGAATTTTCTAATTTTTGAATACATTTGTATTGATAAGGTGACCATACGTCCCGATTTGGCCGGGACAGCCCCGGATTTTCAACTATTTTCCCGGGTTTTTCTAAAAGTAATATTCCCGGATTGTCCTAGGGCTTCCAAAAAGAATAGGTATAAATTGAATATTTGCAAATACTTGATAATAAAATTAGATCAAACCAAAACGTTATTAATGAGAAAATTGTCAAATGCAAAATCTCAAAATTCACGATTAAAATAGCCCATCACTTTAGTAATTTCGTACTTTTATTTAAATGATTTCATTTAATTTAATGATTAGAAAATCTTGTAATATTTTGTGAAACAAATATTAGGGCGGCTTAATGACTCGTACAGCAGTATCACTCGCAAAAAGGGTTGAACTTATAAATATTATAAATGGAACGGTATTTTATATTCGTTGTAAATCGAATATAAAATATTATAAATTTTTAACAAATCAAGTTCAAGTGACATATTTTCCATGTATAGTTGAATCTTATTCCAGAAAATATGGACCAATTCTCGGATAAAATAGAAATGTTATGCTATTGCTATGTTACGGGTCTATGATCGTATGAATTGGTAGTAACAAATTGTAGAAAATCAATCTATTTGCACATAAAACCTAACTTCACGTATGCGTTATCAATAGGACATCAGAAATTTGCACGCGACCAAATTTTTATTTGACGTTCGTGCGTTTTGTAGGTTAGGTTTTATGTGTAAAACGCCTCAACGTACAGCAAGTACATAGCTTTTAGAAAGTTCGTTACTACCAACTCATACGAACGTAGACCCGTAACATAGCATTACCGTAACACTTCTACTTTATCCGACAATTGGCTCTTATATTAACCCTTTCCACTCGCGAATTGCGAGGTTTATATGTATTTTGCCGCCGGAGTGGCGACATACGAGTAGAAAGGGTTGAAATAGCGTAAAATATCTATGGAATAATCTAATTAGGAACTTAGAATGAATAATTATATGCAATACTTATTAAATCTCGTTGCAATTGTATTTGAAATATAACAAATAATTTTATTGCAGATTTATATGAAATATTTTGAAGGAACAAGTTCAAAATATTTATATTCAAATACATTTTTTTTAAAAGCTTCAGCGGAACAGGAACCATATTTAAATATGATTTCACTTTATGAATTATTTTATTACCTTTAAATTTATTTTTACGTTCACTATTCTGATTAAAAACGGTTTCATGTACTCCCAAATTACAAGCAATTTAATATTAATTACATATAACTTACATTTACTAATATGTATTTTTGTATTATACAACAATTGAATTTTACAATTTTTGTACATAAATAAGAGTATAGGAACAGTTTTAATAATAACGTGTTTTAAAACTAACCACAATAGATTCTTTTCTGAGATCTGGGGTTTTGTATAAACATTGATTTTGTTCGAGTTCTCAACTTTGGCTAATTGAATTTATTTTAACTATTGCATAATGATTGTTTTATGATACAAATATAGTAACGATGCAGGTAATAGATACACACTCATTTAATAATAAAAATAAAATAAAATGAATTTTGCATTAATTATTGATTTTTTTATTATCACCAATTGTCCAAAGCATATGGATAAGTTATGATTGCTATGGAGAGATAAATTATATCCTCATTTTGTGAAAATAAAATTTGTTTAGTGAATCTTTTATTACCATCATTGTTACTACTTCGTTGCAACAAAAATAAATATTTTTCTATTATATAATCTTAATGCTGATAAAGTAAAAATGCCTGAGCGTCTCCAGTTTTCGGTATCGGTACCTCAATGAACATACCCATATCTCTATCGTAATTATAATATTTTCACATAATTCACATTTTAACAATGTCTTTTTGTTCATATTAATTCTATTCACTGCACTATAATTTAAATTGTTTTCGTGGTTACACTGCTGGCCATACCCTGCAAATAGAAAAACAAAAATATTAGTAATCAGATATAAAATTATGCTTTTATATGGTATTTTTGCATAAACAAATTTGAAGAAGCTAACGTTAAAAAAAAAATTGTAAATTTTCTGAATATTTTTGGATGTTAATTAGAATTAATTAATATCCATCCCTAAAATTTACATAATAAATTTGAAAGATTGTAAAGAATTTTTTCATAAATTTTGATCATAGAATTTCATGGAGAAAATTGGTTTTCTGAAGTAGCCATAAGGAAATTGAATTACTAAAATTAGTATCATAAAGTAGGTAAATTTGTGGTAAAAAAGTGAAAATTTAGAGATGTATGCGTTTTGTAATTCTGAATTATGAAAAATTAAAATTAAATGAAATTTAATCCCAAAATATGAAAGAAAGTGCTGGAGGTGGACAGCCCTCGGTGAAAATAGTTTATTTTTTAAGATAAATTGAATCTTTTCTATAAGCTCAAGAAAATCTGAATTGCAATTTGGCAAAAAACATTCATTGACTGAAAGCAGGACTAGAAATTATCGGATTACTAAAATGACTATTAAGTAATAGAGGTTTGTGGCAGGAGATTGAAAATTTAGGGCTGATATGTTTTTCAATTACAAATTATAAAATAACGAAAAATAATAAATTGGTCGTAAGAATTAAAAAAAAAATTAAGGGGCATTTAGGGACATCAAAAATAGATGTTATCTGATTCTCAGTCATACTGAACGAGATTATAAAATCTCATAAAATTCGGTCAAACCGTTGCTATTAGTTGATATTAGGGTTGATATTATATTATACTTGTGGTCGCCGTTGAAACAAATTCAGGACTAATGTTTTGAAGTAGAAACTGATATCACTACTGCTTGACATTAGGGTATACGAATCCCAGTATTGAAATCGGTCAAACCGTTTTGGAGGAATATGGCCACTAACATCATGAAAAAAAAATTATATATATATATATATATATATATATATATATATACAACGCCAACTTCTAATGAAACTTGCCAAAACTTCAACCGTCTTAAAAAAAGTCTTAATTTTGGAAAATTTGGCGCAATTATGTTATTTTTTTGACTGTGGTCCTAGAAATGTTATTCACGGTTACGGTTCCAAAATTTAAATAAACGAAAATAATAAAAACTAACCACAGTAACCGAAAAATGGTTGTAATTTTACTAAAGCTTTAGGTTGTACTTGAAAGCTCATAATATCCAAACAACGTGAGATATTTTTTTTTCTAAATTTTTTTGAGGACACCTAAGTCAATACTAATATCAACCCATTTCGACTTGACGTTAAGGTCTGGGACACCCTGTATATAATTAAATTATATTAGAGTACTAGAATTGTATAGGTAATTATACAATAATTATATCAGCAATAGCAAACTTTTGTTAATGTTTGATCAAATAGATTGTGTGTAATTAATATTATGGTCCATCAGTACTCGGTTATCCCTTGAACGATAGAAAAACGAATGATTTTTTTTAAATTTTCCATCACTGTAAAACAGGTTCACAATTAAAAATCCCAGATAATCTTCATAAAAAATTACAACTAATACAATATATATCTATTATGATGACTAACGCGTTTCTATTGCGGCCGTCGTCCGGAAAAAAGTCAAGCAGCAAACGGAAGGAGCGAGGAATTCATGTGCAAAGTTGTGACTATGCAAAAATCGCTATCGACATGAAAGTGTTTTAATGGATATTTTGCATTATCTCCACTCTTCGATTGTGTGCCATGGAATTGCATTGTGTTGCACGTACCGTATTGACCTAATTGTCGTCTCCGATTTCCCAACAGTAACTAATACGAGCGCGCTTGGGAATTCGCTTCGGGTGATCACCAGATGCGCGCAAAAATTAGAAGGAACGACGGACAACCTTATCACGGTAAAAATCCATCGGTTTATATGTCTACATCGAGGACGCAAGATTTATATAGCCTATTTATTGTAAAGAATATATGCTCCGGCATGGATTGGCAACATTTTTCAACGGCTTTTCTTGTTATCACTAAGGACAGTTTTTAAACCAACTGTTGAGCACATAGGAAAACACTCCAACGGATTTCTTGTCACTGATGAACTTTCCGGAGGGTAAGTTATAGTAATCGCAAAAAAGTCGAAAATGAAAATTTTTGCTTTTCTCGACGTTTCAAAGGTTTCTGAATATTTTGGCATACCTTAGAAAAAATGGTTGTGTATGTGTGTGTGTATGTGTGTGCGTGTGTGTGTGTGTGCGGATACAAATTTTCGTCGACGATTTCGGAAACACCGATCAACCGATTTAAATAATTTAAAAAACTTTCTATTCGTATTGATAAGGAGACGTGCTGATTAGTTTTTGGTGGAGGCAGGTCTAGCCGTTCCGAAGATACGGGGCAAAAAGTGCCGGTTTTTAAGAGAACGGAGCGTCCGATTTTAAAAATTCAAAAAACATTTTACTTGTATTGACAAGATGAAGAATTGATCAAGGCAGGTCTAGCGGTTCGGAGATCTAATGAAAAAAGTAAAAAAAAAGCCATTTGGCGGTCAAAACTGATCATTAGACATATGCACATCAAATTATCAGATATTTTATAGAGATTTTAGCAATAAGTAAAAATTTTGTTTACATTCCTATGGGTTCCGTACCATTGTTTATCCGTTAGACGGCGACGCGGCGCTTACGCGTTTTGACATTTCGTCTCTTTGCAGTTAAAGCAGTACGATTGTTCTGAAAAAAAGTTCGGAATTTCCAACCTATGCCAAAATAAAGAAAACTTTTTTTTCAAACAATTTTTTTTTACAAAAAAGGTAATTTTTTGTCGAATTTATAGTTTCTCAAAAATCTATTTTTTTCGAAGTAAAATTTTTTCAAAAATGTTAATCGTTTTTAAAAAAATAATAATATTTGGTACGGGAAGTTCCAGCAATTTGCCTTAAGACACAATGCCATGTGCCCCACTAGTTTATAGCTTCATAAAATATCTATCCTTTTTGTATCGCACTTAATTTATTTATCTACAAAGTCAGTTTTTGCGATAAATACATTCAGCATCATAATGCTGATACTGTATTTTTCGTGTGCGCTAAGTACTTTCACACGAATATCTAAAATTTTTCAAAAAGTGTGTTCACTGAGCGACTTATATATCACTAAATATTATTTTTGCTTTCTTCATGAATTTCTCAATACATCACAATCACATGAGTTGTTCTTAAATTCCCTCTACCAGGCTGTCTTATGACAACCCTTAATATGATTTTACACACATCATCCAGAAATATACTAAAAATTTTTCACTATCTATCTATTATTCTTCACTATCTCTTATCTATTATCTATTATCCTTACGTCAGAAGTCCTGGATTTGACTCCGGCTGGTACCAGTACTGCGGAACATATCCGCCCATCTGTGGCGGTTGTGGCGGTTGCTGAGGTGGACCGGGAGGAGGTTTGTGATCCCAGGGTACTCCCGGCGGACTCAACCCTGGTGACAGCTCCGATACAGGGGTGGATGAAGGTGTGGGGCTGTGACCACCGGGACCACCTGGACCGCCCACGCCACCTGGGCCTCCTGACGTACCGAGATAGTGTGGTGATCCACTGCTACTTCCTCCTAGAAGATAAAGGAAATTTAATTTGTGATACAAGAAAGAGAATAAAATAAAAAATGGGGATCATTAGAAAAGTGGATAAAAATTAATGATGGGATTTGGTTGTGATCGTACCATGCATGCCGGGAATATTTCCTGGAGGACTTTGTTCACCAGGAACGCCTAGACCGCCCAGTGAAGCTCCAGGACCGCCGGGACCTCCTTGTGCTGCTTTCATCATTTTCTTGTATTTACTGCGTCTATTTTGGAACCATATCTTTACCTGTAAAATAAAATTAGCTTTGAAATTTCAGAACTGTAGAAAATTGACGCCCTATAGAATTTGGGATGGATGAAATTAGACATTAAGACGATCTTTTCAAGATGAAATAATATTTTCACTTATACCACTCATGTATATTCTACTGTAATTGATACACCACAAAATTTTTTTATTACAATTGCTTTGGTAAAAATTAAGCACAAAGTCAAAGGCTAATATGATGCCAAAAAGCGATTAGGCAGTACAGTCAACCCTCGGTTAACGCGGCAAGTGCGTACGGTGCAGTATGGGGACCGTGCTCGTATTTAACATACAATTCAGGCTAATTCGTAGTGCGTTCTATGGAAACTTATATAGTGCTGTATGGGAACCGCGCTATGAGAGACTAAGAGTTAGTACTAATCGCACCATTTTTATCGTGCTGTATAGAGACCAAGGAATACAACTTGAAGTAGGAGTAATACGGATGAAATGACATATATGACCTGGACACATTATTCAAAAATTGGCTCGACGTTGCAATCAGTTCAAACATGTTCTTAGACAGATATTATATAATCAGGCATGTCTAAAAGATGAAAGTCGATAACAAAACTTACGTTAATACCCTTTTGATATCAAGTTCCTATAATTACTCATAGGTTGTGCAAGGAACTTATGGGCTGTTGAACAAAAACCGTGTAATAGGAAGTCCGTGTAGTCGGAGGGATGTCGGATTTTTAGCTCCGCGCGGTATGGAAACCGTGTACCCAGAGTGCCGTGTTAACGGAGGGTTGACTGTATATGTGTAGCAATGAAATATTTTAAATAATTTAAAATATCGTGTCATTACATGTTGCTGTTAGTATAATTAGCAGCAATAATAAAATAATACTATGACACGATTTTGAAATTTTGATCAGAACTTCATAAGGATTTTCTATAACCCATGTTTGACCAATCGCCTGCCACCAAAATGATATAAAGGACGATTGATGGATACCAAACATTCTTCATTCTGAGTCGCAATTCCCATTTTTCTTTGATAGCAAGAGTATTGCAATTTGCATGTACAATATAGATTAATTTTTAGCGGGTGTCTTGAACCGCAAATAAATGACTTTTGACGAATTCTTTTCGGCAATTACCGAAACTCAAGCTCAAGAATTCCAGCAATGCGAGTAACGTGTGAACGAGCGGTAACTTTTGGGCGACGACGAGCCCGGCCGTCGAGGCAAAACCGTGTGTTGCAAATTTTTTTTTTACTTCGAATAAGTTGCTTTAAAATTGTTTCGGCGGCCCTCGAACACCGCCCACTACGCAAATATGCGAACAAACCATATTGTCTGCCGTAGGTTGGAAGATAGTAAAGGATTGTGTTTGCTTGATGAAGAATATTGACTGAATCAAACAATAACTAATTATAAGTTGAAAGTATACTGATTAACGATATGATTAATCTAATCAAACATATTATTGAAATACATATGTATTAGTAGACTAAAAATTTATTTCTAGTCCAAAGTATTTTGTAATGAGATCCATTTTAATCTGCATTCATATTTTTTAAATGATTATCGTCGGTGTAAATATGGTAATAAATCAACTGAAGTTTTCGCAAATGAGATTTTTGCAAAATGATCTGGACCTAACATTGTGTAATTCCTTGAAACCAGAGGCAAAGTATGAAGTCAATGTTTCGAATATATGAAAATCCATCGCGACGAATTTCTTTTAGATTTCGTTCGGTCATGTCGCACGCGAATTTGACTACCATTAATCATTTTTTTCACGACTTCAGGGCTGGTGTCGAATTGGATGGAAAATATTTCGAAATTCATCAGAATATTTATTCTACAAGTTGTTGTGTATTATTCTCTACATTGCATATTAGTACTATACTATACATATTAGTATTAGCAGTAATAATAATATTCTGATCCATATCTAAAGCACTCTTTTTTTCAATTATTTTTTAAATTTTACAATGGCTTTCAGAAGTGAACTAAATGGTTTGCCTTTCAGTTGTGTACTATACGAGGTCTGTTCAAAAAGTTTTCGTAATTTTCGTTTTTTCAAAAAAATATTTATTTATTCGTCTACATTAATGTGGTCCCCTTCAAAGTAGTCCCCCCCAGATATAATACACTTATGCCAGCGTTTTTTCCAATTTTCGAAGCACCCTTGATATTCACTTTTTGATATGTCCTTGAGCACTCTCGGCGATTTTCTTCAATCGAGGAAAACCGCCGTCCTTTCATGGGTCTCTTCAACTTTGGGAATAGGAAAAAGTCACACGGAGCCATATCTGGTGAATTTTCGCACTTTGCAACACTTTATTTCATTTTTTACGCAAAATTTAATACAAATTCTTTGACTTTTTCAATTCTTCCATTGTAAAAATCGCCGAGCTCAGAAAAACACGTCGAACCTTAGCGACTACCACAGATAAAGTAAACAGTGAATATAGCTGAAAATTTCATCATACTTTAGGGGCATGTATACCGACACAATAAAAAAAAAATTTTGACAATCAGACACTCCAGACCCGCGAAATTTAATTATTAGTAATTCCGGGTACTTTTTGAACAGACCATGTATATGTGCAATATGGTAAAATACAAATAGCACCTATCTTTTAGACAATTGTGCAGTTTTGCAAAAAAGATCCATTCTAAAAACCTCCAATTCACAAGTATACACATTAGTATTAGCAATAATAATAGTATTCTGATCCATATTCATAGCATAATTTTTGCAAATATTTTCAAATTTTACAATGGTTTCTAGAAGAGAACCAAATGGTTTGACTTTTAGTTGTAACTAAATATCTGCAATATGGGTTTATTCAAATAGCACAAATTAGCCCAAATGTATCGTTCAATTCTTTTCAGTACATTTATATTTCAAACAAACGTAGTTTTGCAAAATGGACCCATTCCAGTTTCTTTCAACTCATCATCAGTCTGGATCATATTTCGAACTTCGACCAGTTTCGGACAGTTTTGGATTATTTTTGCAAAGTTACATTTTCTAACAAAGTATCGAATTTAAAAGTTTTCTCAAGTTAAGGTTCAATAAAGAGATGGTAAATTTTATCATACCATTTCTAGGCGATTAAAGGTCGCTTGTCATTAAAATAAGTTCTCATGATTCACGGATATTGAGTAATTTTCTTTCAGAAAAAACTGATTTACGTAACGATGACTAAATATATTTCAAAACCATATTACACACAAAATCATATTGTCTAATTTGCTTATAAGAATTTTAAGCGATTTCATAAAAAAGACTCCGGTAGTCCAACACTGACCTTAAATAACCTTAGATTCCGAATACACGTGATAAAAAACATACACACACATACTGTGACCATTATTCAAATCCTTTTTCCTGCATTATACATAATTAAGTTTATTATATTCGGTTACACTGCATTATATGTTGTATTGTGCTCTTGGATGTTATTTTTTTTCTTGTTCACTTTTTTATTGTATTCGACTCTCTATCGTTTTCTTTCGATTTTTTTCGAGCGTTATTATTATATTATATTATATTGTTATTATTATTTTTATTCGTATGTTTTTTGATTCCGGCTACCGTGCGACGGACAAAGAAAAAAGTAAGATCAGGCAAGCGCAACAGACCAATATTCACACCTTTTGTATTAACTACAGATATTACGACGGAAGAAATGAATTAAAAATCTGTGAACACAGAGAAAGTTTAAAGCGATTCTAATAAAACTTATCTACTCAACTGTAATAGACAAATTTTGTTTATTTATTTTATTACATAGATCCAGAAGGACGTAAAACTACAATCATAATAGCACATAATATAAGATATCAACTAATTGTTAACACTAAATTAAATGGAATAATAAAAACGCAAATGAATAAACTAGTGGTGCATGGCATCGTGCCTTAAGGCAAATTGCTCGAACTTGCCGTACCAAAAACTATTTTTTCAAATAAGATTAAATTTTTTTTAAACTTTGAAAAAATTAGATCTTTGAAAAATTTTAAATTTTTGAAAAAAATTGACTTTTTTGAGAGAAATAGACTGAAAAATGCCTTTTTAAATATTTTGGAAATTTTGATTTTTTTTTAAAGCAATCGCGCTGCTTTAGCTGTCTAACGGACAAATGATGTTACAGAACCCATAAATCTCCATCTGATAATTGGATGTGCATATGTCTAATGTTCATTTTTGACTTCCAAATCGCATATTTTTATTACTTTTTTTTACTAGATCTCCGAAACCGCTAGACCTGCTATTCCAAAAATTTAACGAGTTGTTTATCTTGAAATCAATACAAGAATTATTCAAATACAACTGAATTACAATTTTTTGCACTTTCTGCTCCGTATCTTCGAAACTGCTAAACCTGCCTTTGCCAAAAACTAATTAGCAAGTCTCCTTTATTAACACAAATCGAATGCGAATGAATCGAAATATTCAAATCGGTTGATCCGTGTTCTCGAAATCGTCGACAAAATTTTGTATCCGCACACACACATACATCAATATTTTCTAAGGTATGCCAATATGTTCAGAAATAAGTTAATTAGAAAATAAAAAAGGAATAAATGAATATAAAAAATAGGTACAGTATAGATACAGGGCACTTTTTAATAGCACTTTGTTATATTTTTGCTATTATTTTTATTCATGTGCTTTTATTTGTACCTACAGAATCGTTGGATACGAGTAGAAGATAAGCTTAACTTGCTTTTTATATTTGTAAAAACTAAAATTAATCTAAAAAGCATAATAGATTATAACGTTTGAATATTGAATGCATTGTTGCTTTAATAACATTTTGAATTAGATCACTATTAAAGTTACTATTAGTTCTATTAAATAAATAATTCAGATCTTACAACTGTTCAAGCACTAACACATCCATGTCTATCCAGAATTTTATCAAATTAATTCTGGATTAAATTGAATGTTGTTGTTATGAATCACTAAACAATTGAAAAAGCTGCAATATTAATGAATATTTTTTTAAATCG